CTTCTCCTGTTTCTCCCATGAATCCCTGCACTCCTTTGGAAGGTGGATCAGCTTATGGACTTGTCCTCTGAACAGTGTCTTGCATTATTTCCACATTCTAAGTCCCAAATGTCTCTGATTGGCTGGCAGCCAGCAGAGGGAAAGGAAAAGGTGTCTTCATTTTGCCTTCATCAGAAACTGGCATCCACATTCACCTTCTGAAGTGAACAAGGTTTACAATGGTTATTTTTTCTCTGGGAAGAGCCAGAGAATAGCATGTTCTCCATGTCAAACAGCTTCCTTGTTTTAGAGATGCTATCTGTGCCTTGTTTCTGTTTAGGTATTGATGACATTGTATGATCAGTTATGTTGCAGTAGCACCTGGAGGTCCTTGCTGAGATCACAGCCCCTTTGTGGCAGGTTCTGCACAGCAATGTTCATGGAGACAACCCATCCTGAATGGATAGCAACCAGACTAAAAAAACCCAACATATTGCAGAAGAGAGGATGTTCCTTTATTTTCAGCCCACACATGGTGGCCTTCCCAGTGGAGCTCTGAGTAATGTCTGGGGTATTCAATATTCAACTCAAATGGGACTTCCTGGTTCCTATTGAGTGGACACCTTGGCTGGAGTTAATCTGCCTTACCTTTGATGTCTCAGATTATGTTCTTATATTTTAATCCAATCTAATTTTTCATCTCTTTCTCCAGGGCTCTCATATATCTGACATATGAACAGCTACTGTGTCTGCTTTTCACCAGGGAGTTACTGCCAAATCTCACAATCTTATCTCTCACCAAGTTTATGTCTAATGTCCAGTTTCTTCTCCCAGTATGAAAATCAATGGCAGAAATCGCACAGAAAGTACAGTTTCACAAGTCAAAAGAACTCTTTGTCTTGTGGTTGTTATGTCCAAGGAGAAGAACAGGGTCACTTCTCTTGCACAACAGCAAAAGCAAAGGAGGCTGAGAGAGCTGAGGATGTTCACCTGGAGAAGAGAAGGCTCCAGGAAGACCTGAGAGCCCCTTCCAGAGCCTAAAGGGGCTCCAGGAGAGCCGGAGAGGGACTTGGGACAAGGGCCTGGAGGGACAGGACAAGGGGGAATGGCTTCCCACTGGCAGAGGGCAAGGTTAGATGGGAGACTGGGAAGGAATTGTTGGCTGTGAGGGTGGGGAGACCCTTGCACAGGTTGTACAGAGAGGTGGTAAATGCCCCATCCCTGTAAGTGTTTTAGGCCAGGTTGGATGGGTATTGGAGCAACATGGGCTAGTGGAAGGTGTCCCTGCCCAGGTTCCTTCCAACTCATACCATGATGATGATGATGATGATGATGATGATGATGATGATGATGATGAT